ATAAGGGTGTTTCATTAAGACGGATCAAAGTCAGCAGTAAATAAGTCGGTGTTATTGATAAAAATTTATTTATTTCTCTATTGCATCATGTTAAGTCATGGCAATTATATGTGAAAAATAATATCGCCCAAATGTCTGCCAAATCTAAAAGAAAAAATCATTAGGTGCTTAAACTTAATACATGTTTAAAATTGTTCCAAGTTATTGGAACACCCTTTTAATATATATATATATATATATATATATATATATATATATATGATGTGTTTGAGTGGACAGCAATATTTAATTTGTGCAAATTTGGTTGAAGACCAGCAAAATTCCTTTAAGACATTTATTTAATAATTCTCTGGTTTGCAGGTAAAATTTGAACAGAAATTATCCACCTAAACCTGATGATATCAGGTGTAAAAATAGGAATACTTTAATAATGGCTTATGAAAGTTGCTAGTGTTTGAAAGACATTGAACAATTTGTTTAAATTTTTCCCAGAAACCAGAAAAATGATCTGAAAGAAAAAAAGAGAAAAGATCCTAAACCAAGAACTTTTGTTGGTTTTTAATCAAACCTGCCGACACACAATACACACACATATATATATATATATATATATATATATATATATATATATATATATATATATATATATATATATATATATATAGGGCACTTCAATGTGGCATAATGGTTAGCAAGCTTGTCTCTCTAGCTCAATTACAACTCATTAGCAAGTTCGATCCTCACGGGGTGCCCTATACTTTCGGCCTTGTGCCACATCTAAGCTATTTTGGTAAATCATATATATATATATATATATATATATATATATATATATATATATAAAAACACACATGTGCACACATATGCATACAGGTTCGATTATAGATGATAGAATTTTCTAATTAGCTTTTCTTGTCCACATACAAAAGAAAATATGTCTGGAAGAAATGAAAGTAAATATTGTTTAAACATTTGTGATTTTAAATACATTTAACAACCATTAAAAATGTTGCTTACATCTTTATAACATACCAACAGCAAATAGTGTTTTTCCTAATCTTGAAAGTGTTACATAATAAATGTTTGGATAATATCTATACTAATTGAATCCAGACATACATTCTCATGTACACAAACAAGAAATGTTAACTCAATATATATTTAGTTTATTGTTTTAACTCAAATTTCTGTTTAATGAAAGACTAATATATGTACTTATGTACATACACACTCGTGTGTGTGTGTATATATATATATATATATATATATATATATATATATATATATATATGCACACTTTATTTTAGGATATTGCATAAAGAATATTACTCTACTTTTGTATTGAGCCCTCTTTTAAATTGAATGTTACAGACGTCAGAATTGGACTTTATTCATTATCATTTTAGATGGATATACACACACACACACACACACACACATATATATACACATATATATATATATATATATATATATAAAATCTTGATTGACAGCTTTTCCTGATAATCCAGTTTTTGAGAATTTTCTTCCCATTATGTTCTCTCCATTCTCTGCTTGCATTGTAGCGCACTTGCAACAATTGCCTTCTAACTGCCTCTCTGCTATTTGCTCTTCTGATTGACCTTCTCTATTGATTCCAGTGAGAATGTAAAGAAGAAAATGTTTCTCTCTTTTGTCCTTTGACAACATGAAAACACCTGTTTTGCCTGCTGAATATTTCTTTTGTTAACCATTGTTTATAATTCTATCACTATCTAATGAGCAAAAATGATGTGTCAGTCCAGTTTAATCTCTAATTGCCATTATATGAGATGCTTAATTAAAACTATAGGAACTGACTTTTTAAGCTGTTATGTACAAGATCCTCAGTTACACTTCCATTAGTTTTGTTAGAATACTCTTAATAGTAAAGTATTTGACTAAAAAAAAATATATATATATATATATATATATATATATATATATATATATATATATATATATATATGGTGCGATGGGTAAATTGTCGCCATTATATATTTTAAGTTTTGACCATGCTACAGTAGAGGTAGGGTCAGTTGGGCCCCATTTGTGAGAAAAAGACCACCATGAGAAAATTCACCCTGCCAGAAATTTGGAAGCTGCATGGTTTACTGCTTGGCATTCATGACGGAAGCTCCAATCTGAAAATTTCATGTGTTTGGGTGCCAATCTGAGTACAGTGCAGAGGATTCAGAAAGAGTTGGGGGAGGCTAATTACGAAGGTACAGCAACTTGGAACACTCACTCTGATCATTCTGATAAAAAAGAACTCCCAAATGTGTTGGCTAGGGCCTCAGACTCAACATGGAGTCCTATATCAAGTGCCTTGTGGAGGTAAAGCTTTTCTGGTTCAAGAGGGTGGCTGCTGGAAGACCATATATTTAGCAACAGGACTCTGCACCATGCCACACAAGCAGGAGAACCCAGTCATGGATATCAGACAATTTCTGTGACTATATCTGTCCACCTCACTCCTGAGACTGCAATATATATATGTGTGTGTGTGTGTGTGTATTTGTGTGAATAGAATAACTGGAAGTGCTTGGATATATAAAACATTTTAACAGTTTTTGCACACTATATCCAGAAAAGAAATCATTTATATTAACACAAGAAAAACTGAACAAAAAGCTTAATTGCAGTACCTTTTCAGTCATTTTTAATGAAACTTGTATAAAAGAATGATTGCTGCCCAAATAAACAATTATATGAGTTAAAGAACAAATTGGAAATGATTATCAATCTAACATGTTTCACTTTTATTAAAGCTTTGTCGGGGATTGATAGGAAACATAAAATTTGGTTTTATACTTATTGGTCAGGTATATATCACATTCATTAAAACCATGGATAATTCTATATGTGTGTATGTTGTAAAAATACTAATATCTCTAAGCAAGCATCAGTTGGTAATGTATATTCATAATTGTGTATATGTGTCTGCCTATTAGGAGGAATTATAATGTTTTCAATTTTGTGTGGTCAGTCAGCTTAGTGGAGTTGTATTCTATTAATTCTAGGGCTGTTTTTTATATACATGACTGACCAAGGAGAATATATATATATATATATATATATATATATATATATATATATATATATATATATATATATATGTGTGTGTGTGTGAGTGATATTCTATTTCCTCAACACTACCCCAGTCACACTCCTCGCCCCAACCTTCCAGTCAACAAGTTAAGGCTGCCACTTTATTTGATTTTCACTGAATTTAATTCACATTTTCTAAAGATACATTCCGCTAAAACAAAAAAAAAACTTACATTGTATGGAATAAATTATTCAACCTTTAGCACACTAATTTCTTTCTAGAATTGTTCCCCCTACCACTACATTTTTTGTTGAGATCTGGGGGTGCAATAAGAAGCAAAATCACTAAAAAGGCTTTCATTTCATCAAAAATGTGATGTGTTTACATATGAGAAGAAGACACTAGCATTTGTTTGCTGTTTCTTTCACCTGACTCATATTTATTTGTCTTGTTGATGAATAAAGTTGTTATTTTGTCGTTTATAAATAGACAAAATAATTCACCTTCAGAAAGGCTATCAGGTATATCGATGGTTGCCAGTGCTTCCATAAAATTAGTCAGGCATGGATGATAGTAGCCGCTAGTGGTCATCATCACTTTTCTCCATGTCACTGGCGTGGTTATCATCTTCGACCACTTCACCGTCAATATCCACTCGAGTAAAGCCTTCAAAATCATCATCAGAGTGTTGCCAGTAGCTTCCATAAAATTATTCAGGCATGGATGATAGTAGCCAATAATATAATTTTTTTCATTGTTGCTTTTCTCCATGTCACTAGGGTGGTTATCATCTTCGACCACTTCACCATCAATATCCACTCAAGTAAAGCCTTCAAAATCATCATTGGAGTCCTAATCAAAAGAAAACTCCTAAATAAAGGCTTTGTTGGATATTGACACAGCCATTTTTCTTTACAAAAAATTGCTAAAAAATTAATGTAGGTTTAATCGATGTTACACCTCATGTAGAGTCTAGAAGAATTCAAAATGGTGTGTTTAACCTTGTTCCAAAGCAGTAGCAGGCGATTCCCAGCTTAAAATAAAAAGTGTTTATTTATAGCAACCATCTCAGGCAACAGAAGTCGCCAATAGTAGTAAGGGAGAGAATTCTATCGTGACTATTGTCGCCTGTGGTGTGGTAAAGGTTAAAATGGACATTTGAAATAAAATGTGTTCTTTGTAAAACAGGACATACAAGTCATTAGAGATTTTTAAAAGATTATTTATAAAATTAAAGCAAGAAATACATTGCCTATTAAGTATTTCTCCATCTTTAATTAGACACAGACCTACTCAGCCCGACTAGCCAGGTTAATTTTATTTCATTCTTTTCTTACTTTTTTTTTTTTTTTTTTCTTATGACCAATATCAATAAAATGTATTTCGGTCATTATTTTTAGACATGGACTTAAGACAATTTTGGATCCAGCTGAAATCAAGAATGAAAACAACACACTACAAATGATTTTTGACTTAAATGTTGACTCACTTGGGCTCAGCCCAACACCTGGAGTCATCACTGATATATATATATATATATATATATATATATATATATAATCTGTTTTTAAAAGTTGTTCACCCATATTACAGTTTGGCAGTTAATGCATTGAAATCTGGATCTCAAAAGATTCATAAAGTTAGTGTTTAGGTGATATTCATTAAATGAACCTCTTCCAGCAGAAGCAAAACCTAAATTTCTATAGCAGATCTTTAGCTAAGAATGGCAGTCTCCTTTCTAAAAGTTATTGAACAGATTTATCAAAAGGTTATTTGATTTTTATGATTTGCTTTTAATACAGAGAGAACAAGATAACCAAGAAATTGTGAGTCATTGCTTCCTGAAAGGTTCAAATATCTCTTTCTATTTTCATCTTTTTTTTTCTTTTTTGGACAGTTCTTCATTTGCTGCTATTCTTTCTGTTGACAGGTTTTCCAGACAAGAGCAGCAGACTTTTAGCCCTTAGAGGAGTCCTTAAAAAATTACCATTAACTAATTATGAAGTACTCAAATATCTCATCACTCATTTTAATAGGTAAGTAATATATTATATTATAATTATTTTTAAAAAAATATGATTCTTTCGCTACATAAGAGTTCTAATATTTCAAAAACAAGAGCCAAAAAATAGGTTTTTGGCTCTTGTTTTTGAAACATGAGAACTCTTATGTAGCAAAAGAATCATATTTTTTTAAAAATAATTATAATTTAAGCTCTACTTCTGTATGGAGCACTGTTTTTTAAAAATAAAAACAAAAATACTAAAGAACTCCGGATTATTTACCTAACATGTTCTATCCTATTTTTCTATATATTTGCATGCACACACACACACACACATATATATATATATATATATATATATATATATATATATATATATAAAAAGCAAAAAATAATAATTGCCCTTGAAATTATGAATTAATTTTTTAGATTTTGGAATTTCTTTGTGAGGGTACTACCCAAAAAATTAGGGAACTTTGGGTAAGAAATGGTTTCCTGAAATAATGTAAATTATGAAAGATAGTGTAATTTTTTTTTTTTTTTTTCTGGTAGAGTGATTTCAAGATACCTATGGAATGTCAAACTTGGAGAACACTGAATATCATCCTAGGACAAGATGTGTATCACCTCTCAGTTTTATAGGCTACAAAATTTCAAAGATTTGACTTTGAAAACACTTTCATATAGGTACCTCCACTAATTCTCAATACCTAAGGTTCAAAATGAATTTTTATAAAGGAAAAAGCTTTCTTGAAACAGCCATTTTCACTTTAATTGAAAGCTAAATGATTAAATTTACTGTTTCCAGAAAGTAAAATACTCTGGTGTATTTCAAACAAAATTATATTGATTGGAATTGATTTTTGAAAATTTTTCTAAAATACCTGATTTGTGCACCTTTTTTAGTCATCTTTCATCGCAATGTAATTCTCTTTTAAAAAATCTTCTAAAAAAGAAATATTTTTCTGAAACTTTATTTGAGGAATATTAACTTATTTAGAGTATAATTAATCTGATTTGAAAAAATATTATTTAAGTTTAAAATAACACAGAAATGTATCTAAACAGTAGCTGTGATTTTTAACTGACAGTAGCTATGTTTGTGTTTGACAAGTGTTGACAGTTGGTATCATAATGATTGTTTTTCTACACAGACTATATTTGTAAAACATAATTAAAAAAGTGAATGTATGCCTTTTTATATAATTTTTAAGTACTCAATAATCTTTAAAATTTTGGAAAATATTCTCTATAATCTAATTTTAAGAATGTTGACTTTAAATTTACTCGTCATCACTCTTATTTTCTGATAATGTTGTGTATGGTCAACCATACTTTCAAAAATGGGCACTTTACATAATATTTTATATACATATAAAAAACAAATTTTTAAAAGTCTTGGTGCAAAATGATTTGTATTAAGCTTTTCAATTTTTGATTAGCAAATATAGTTTTCACTTAGGTAATATTGTTATTAAACTAATGAAAGTAATGCAGAATTTTAAAAGATTTACATAAGTATTGTAATTAAAATTAAAAAAAAAATGAAAACAGTTCTTGTAAAAATTTATTATTCATTGCAAAAAATTTTCTTTCTTAAGGCAGTAGTGTGCTTAATAAATTTTATTTATAAAAGCAATTAAAAGCTTTTCAAATTAAATAATGTCAGTTTTATTACATTTTTTTATTTTATGATTCAGAGCAGATTTTCAGGAAATGAGTAGTAGTTTGAAAAAAAAAAAAAAAAAAAATTGATGATTTACATTCTCCAAGGAGTCCTGCTTTTAACTAATAAAAATTTTTGGATGAAAATTTAATTTCTCGAAATTTCATGAAATTGAGTAAGTGGTGGGTAACATGTCTAAAGAAAAAAAAAAATTTTAAAATAATTTCATTTTTTTGTGAATAAGCCCTGAAAGTTACATTAAAATCCAACAATTATTTGATTTTTGCAAGAATTTCCAAATCAGTGTGTTTTTCACCAGAATAAAAAGGTGCTAATATCATAAATATTAATTTGACTGCTGGTGCAAAAAAAAAAACAAAAAAAAAACAAACTTTTAACCAGAATGTCGAATGTGCTAGAAAGGATTAAAAAAAAAACTTTATAAAGTAATGAAAAAAAAATACTTTATTATTTTGGAAAAGAAGAAAGAGCAAACATTTTGATGATAAAACTTTGTTTTTATTAATTTTGGGGTCTTTTTTCTTAATGCTATGCTGTTTTTTCAGCAAATAAGTGAAGGTACCTAATCTCATATTTGTTAGTCAAAATGTTGAGCACTATTATGAATTTTGTCATGATATAAATGTACATTTCAATATTTTCAAAATTTTGAATTATTCCATATTCCGCATCATTATGTGGCCTCAGGGCTGCCCACCAGAGGTGACTGCAGGGACACCTTTCCATCTTTTGGCATGGCAAACAAACACCCGTATTATACAACTGTTGATCAGAGCAGCCGCTCAAGACGCTACACAAGAGTTAGGGCTCCTAACTACCAGTCGGAAACAGCAACCAGAGAACTGTCAGCCGTGTGCATTCAGCTAGAGCGAAACGATACTCACATGGGCCAACAAGTGGGTGACTGTCTACATCGTCATGATGATGGTGACTGAATATACGGCTTTACCTTGTGTCCAAGCGTCGACCGGTTGGGGGGGGGGGTTAGGAATCATCGGCCAATCCTCGGCCCCCACCAAGTACTGGGCTTGGGAGATATGCTTTCAATAAGATTTGGAAAGAGGAGATAGAATGGCTAAAAACAATTCCGCTTTCAGACAATATATCAAGCAAAAAGATACTGTCACAACATCGTTAGAATACTGACGAGACACCCTCGCATCTAGTCAAAGACATTCAATTTTCTTTGTTAACATTTCGGATCGGGATTTCTTCACGGTCGAAACTGTCTGTTTTCTCTTACCTCGGGCCTTCTCATTTTTGCAAATAAAATCCAACATGAGTTACAAAAACCGAAAGATTAACCCTAAACCAGCCTCTCAGAAACCACCTAAACCCCTCAACATTTCGTTCTCCAACATCCGGGGCATTAGGACAAACTTCTACAGTCTGGAATCTTTCCTCACTGCAAACGGCCCGGATGTACTGGCTCTCTGTGAGACAAACCTTGTCTCATCTATCCCCTCTTCTGATCTCTCTATCCCCTGCTATCTTCCTCTCCTCAGAAAAAGACTCTCTAACCCACATGCACGGTCTTGGTGTCTCGTCCAAGGAACATCTCCCTCTGGCCAGAGAGTCCTCTCTCTCGAATCGCCTGACCAGTCATACATGTGTCCTCGACTCTCTCTCCTCAATGCGGTAAGCTATCTCTTCTTCCTTTACCGCTCTCCATCCTCTCAAGACTATGAGATACTTGATAGCATTTCTGACAACATAGACAAGGCTCTCTCTCTCCACCCATTTGCTCACATTTTTGTGTTTGGAGACTTTAACGCCCATCACACTCTGTGGCTTAAGAATGCTACTACTGACCATGCAGGCATTCAAACGCTTAATTTTTCAATCTCCCATTCCCTCACACAGATAGTTAACTTCCCTACTGTTTTGCCTTCAACCGGAAGGTAAAGCCTCTCTACTCGACCTGTGCTTTTACCTCCATCCCCAAAACCTGCAGCGCCCTCGCAACTATGCCCTTTTTGGTAACTCTGACCATGCAGTAGTATCGGTTAACATCTCCTTTAACTCCACCCCCTATAAAGAACCTCCTACCACTAGAACTTTGTTCTATTATCAACGAGCTGACTGGGACGCGCCTTCCGTGATTTCCTCCGCGATGTCCCCTGGGATGGAGTCTTTAAGCTCCCGTCCAAGAATGTGCTTCTGAGGTCTCTTCCTGGGTTAAAGCTGGAATCGACGCTTTCATCCCATCAAGGAAATATAGGGTTAAGTCGGCCCTGCCCCTGGTTCTCGGCTGCTTGCTCAGCTGCCATCGACCATAGGAACCACTACTTCCACCTATACCCGTGGCGACATGTCTGACTACAATAGACGTCTCTTTGCCTCCGCCCGTAACGAATGTAAGCGTGTCCTAAATGATGCTAAGTCACTATTTAATTTTCGAATGAAGGAACGTGTGCATCTCGCAAATTTGGCTCCAAAGATTATTACGTCTCTGCAAGAGTGTATTGAACAATTGCAAACCCTCTATACCTCCTCTATTCAACCAGTTCAAGTCTTGACCTCCTCTACCAACAAGGCTGAATGCTTTGCTCGGAAATTTTCATCCAACTTGATGCTCGACTCTTCCGGTGTACCCATACCCGACTTCCCTCTTAGAACTGAGGCCATATGGGTGGGTTAAACATAACCCCAACTTTGGTACTGGGGCGTTATCTCCAATTTAGATCCCAACAAGGCAAGTGGTGGAGATGGGATACCAGCCATTGTCTTAAAGAAATGCGCGCCTGAACTGGCGCCTGCCCTTTCGAAACTATACAACTACTGCCTCAAGGAATCTTGTTTTCCTGACTGCTGGAAGTCCTCTTCGATCGTTCCTGTCTTCAAGAACTCCGGCGACCCTCTGACCCTTCCAACTACCGTCCTATCAGTCTCCTTCCCCTTCGGCAAAAATCTTGAAGCTCTAATCAATATCGGGTGGTTAACCACCTCACATCCCATAATCTGCTCTCAGACAAGCAATATGGTTTCCGCTTTGCCAGATCTACAGCCGATGTGCTCACAGCCATCACTGAAACAGTCTACCGAACTCTCCAAAATAACGGGAAGCCCGAGCCGTGGCACTAGATATCGCCAAAGCATTTGATAGGGTTTGGCACGCCGCCTTCTCCGCAAGATCCAGGGTTATGGCATTACGGGTCGATTATATAACGTAATACAATCATTCCTGTCAAACCGTGAATTGAAGGTCGCTCACAACGGATTCTCCTCCAGTTCCTATCCCACGAACGCAGGTGTTCCTCAAGGCTCCATCCTAGGCCCCACTCTATTCCTTATCTACATAAATGACCTTCCTGACGCCATAACTTCTCAAGTCAGCATCTACGCGGATGACACCACAATTTATTCCTGCCTCAAAAACAAATCTAGTCTCGCTGACAAAACTCACCTTGCCGTGCGTCTCGAAAAGGACCTCCAATCGATTGTGAACTGGGGCATGAATTGGCTGATCAACTTCAACGCTTCAAAGACAAAACTGCTCTCTATTAATCACCACAGAGAGCCTTCCCTTCCCTCCATTAGAATGTCTGACGCTCAACTTCTCGAGAGCAACTCTCTCCGGGTTCTCGGTCTCACATTGACTGCTGACCTGAGATGGAATAAATACATCGAGTCAATTGCCTCGTCCACTGCGAGGAAAGTTGGCTCCTGAGCCGCGCTAGGAAGTTTTTTCCCCCTGAGTCGATCCTCCAGATATACAAATCCACAATTCGCCCTTGCATGGAGTATTGCTGCCATATATGGTCTGGCGCCCCTTCTGTTTGCCTCGGGGTTCTTGATAGGCTCCAGAGGCGGATATGCAATGTGGTTGGCCCTGCCCTGGCGTCTCGCCTACAGTCACTTTCTCACAGACGCACTGTTGCCTCCCTCTGTCTGTTCTACAAATACTTTCATGGAAATTGCTCCGAGGAACTGCATTCGCTGGTTCCCAGACTTCATGAGTTCAAAGCCCTCACAGGCTGGCATCCCGCTCTCACCCCTTCACTGTCAAACTCCTAAATGTAGCCGTCTCTTCTACTCTAATAGCTTCATGTCTCGCACCTCTCGCCTGTGGAACTCTCTTCCCTTCTCCTGTTTCCCTGTGAGTTATAATCTCCAGCTATTCAAGTGTAATGTCAATCGACATCTCCAGTTGCCTTAATCTATCTACTACCCTCATCCTTTCTTCTATCACTCCTATCTGATCTTCCTATTTTCTGTAACCCCTTGCGTCCTAGTGGCTTAAAAAAAATGAAAAGAAACAAGTTGTCTTACTACATATTTTTAGTAGTCTGTGTGAATGAAGATCATTATACATTTAAAATCTTTCTATATTTTCACATTGCTAAATCAAATATTGATTAACTCACAGCTACTGGGATATTTTTATGCAAGATCAAGATCTCATCTCAGACAATCATTGCTTTCACTACATTCAGCACCATTTACAGACTGTTTTCTCTCACAATCTGATTCACTAGCAAAGTGGGAACATGCAGGACAAGGAACTCCAAGAGAGCCATCCTCTTGGGAATCGGTTCACAGAGCACAGTGGCTCACAAGAAGAAACTGTTTGAGTGAAACTTAACTTCTCACTAATGGAATACAGAGGGAATGTGAGTGGTTTGCTAAAATGTGAGTAGCATGGCAAGTGGTAGACGTGAAGGTGAACTGACATTACCAAGGAATGTAGTTCATCTGAGCCCTTTCCGTGAAAGTAGCGATAGAGTAGTGAGAGACTTGCCACCTCCCACGTGTGTGAGAGAGAGATTGGATGGTAGAAAATAATTTGTTACCCACAAGGACTTGGAGATTTTTTTTTTTTTTTTCTGACTTGGCAGCTCCCACCCAAATATGACAACAGTTCTCTATTTTGGGCCGGATTTGGCTCTTGTAAGCCAAGATTACTCAGTCGCAGGAGGAATTAGATACTGACTGTAGCAATACAGGGAGCCGACCATTTTTTGTGATGGATCATATGTATGATATCCACTTGAAGTCAGTTGCGAGTTTAAGGCCCAATAGTCCCTGAAGTCATGGAGCCTCCCCCCAAGGGAGCATCTATTCATCAAGACTGGCGGTAGTTCAGTGTCCGATCCACAATGATGGAATGTATCCAGTTTGGTTTTTGAGGTATTGAATGTAACCAGCCAGTTTTTCTCCCCTCCACCCCACCGAGAAGTTAATGCTAGATTGCATGAGTGATCAGTTGCTAATCTCTGATAATCAAAAGTTTTAGAAGTGCGCTTGTATATCATCGTATCCTCAGCATAGATGTTCACAAATGATATATATATAAATTATATTATATACTTAAGCAGATCACTTATGTAAAGCAAAAAGAGGGTTGGTCTGAGAAGTGAGCCCTGGGGGAGGCCTGTGTTGACTCCCAGGGCTCTGGTGGACTGGCCATTAATAACTACCTTCAGGGTTGTTATCATTATTTAAAGTCAGACTAATCTCCTCATCTTTGTTACAGTTATCACAAATTCATGGCCATTGTTGATCTGGGTGACCTTTAGGGAATTTCAACTTGAACCCTTTTATTTAATCTATGGGGATAGATTGTTCTCGTTCCACTTTTCTAGGGATATCTCATCTTGCTGTTTTGCAGAGTTTTGCTCGTCCTGCTTTTTCTAAGTCTGAATAAGTCTCAGTAGAAAAACAGAATTAGGAATAACTGAACCATTAACCAAGATGAGATATTGCTAGATATGAACAGAGTAACAAGAATAATCTACTCCATAAATTGAATAAAGGGTTCAGTTTGAAATTCTCTGATGGTTACCCAGATCAATAGATACCTATATAGAAGGCTGGAAGGTGCAATGAGCAAAACTAATAATAAAGTTGGAGACATTAACCTGGCTGTAAATATTGATTATTTTCTATTTTGTACATAAATTCATAGAGAAATGATCATTTTTATTTTTGTCTCTACTTTGATAATGATCTTACATATATTTGCTATATTTTTGTTTCTTTTCTTGTTTACAGAATTGGGCGTCATTATGACACAAACAACATGGACAGTAAAAATTTAGCTCGGTGTTGGTGGCCAACGTTAATTCGAATGGACTTCCAATCCTACGGAGAGTTGACTTACAATTCTCGAATTCCCCTTGAAATTTTACAGACTCTCATAGAACAATCTGGTTTCTTCTTCCACGGAGAGAATCAAGTATGACCTGCTAAAGTATGACCTGTCACTTCCTGAACCGTTTTTTCTCTTTACTTCTCCCACCCACCCAATCCACTTACCTAAATTCTCATCATGCCCCCCTCCTCCTCCTCCTACTCTCTCTCTCTCTCATTTCCTTTGGTTTTCTTTTCATTTTTTTCTTTCATTTACTGCTTTTCTCTTTCTGGCCACTGAACCATCACATTGGACTGTCAGGGCTTTTTAATGCTACACCATACCACTCAACCAACAAAACCAATTAAAAGAGAAAAAATATTAAAAAAATAAAAAAACAATTAAATTTAAATCTTTCTCTCCACATCATCATCATTGTCATATGTCCAACAACAAAACTGTTGACTTTTGTTGTATTAAAGTCTTAAATAGATTCATCTACAAAATTACTATTAATATCAACAGTAAACAGTTACTTGGGCGCGCACACACACACACACACAGGAAACAGAAAATGTCCCCAGTTTTAACACCAAAAAGAAAATAAAATAAAAAGTGAACCAAAATAAAAGTCCCAATTCAAAAATAATAATAAAAACCCCAAATAATCTAGATAATCAGATTTTGTTTTTTAAAAAAAATAATTTTTAACTCTACAAAAACAACAAAAAATGATTATGAGCAAGTGTTCATCATGTTATTGTCATGTGATCAAAAAATTGTTTAGCTTTTTTTATTTTTTAACCTTTTGTTTTTCTTTCCTGTTGGCTTTTTTTTTTTTTAATTTTTAAATTTTATTTCTCTTCTTTTTTTTTTTTTGAACTTCCTCCTTCAATCTCAGTGACATCAACTCAGGTTCTGGAGTCTGAAGTATTGAAAAGTTGCAATCATTTGGCGTTATTTCCCTTTTATTTGAAGAGTTACATTTTTTTTTTTTGTAAAGTATTAAACACATCTTGCTACTTTTTCAGATATTAGATATTTGTAAAATATGCTGCTCTTTTCACAGCCTGTTCTATATAAATCAAGGCATTTTCAAAACATGCTGAGAACTTTGAACAATTCTCACAAACACACACACACACACAAACAATTTGTACACTGATATTTGTAAATTAACTTTGGGGCTTAGGACATTTTTTCTTTCTCCCTTCTCAATTCTTTTGCTGTTTTAAGCAGCAAGAATTGATTTTGAATGTAAACAGTGATTGCATTAAGTGATATAGATATCTAAAATTCCTATTCTAGGCCTTCAGGGAATATTTTTTTTTTCTTTGATCAATGTATTTGTTTACTTATTTCCAAAACACGAATTCTGTAAATAAACACAATTAATAATCGAAATTGTTTTGATTGTTTAATTATGTGTGGCTGACCATCTCAGACTTTGGGCCAGATTTTCTGTGTGCATTTTTTATGCTTATAAAATTTGCTTTGTTAATGTGGTGTGAATATTCACAAATGAATGACTTTTGCTTAAGGATATCTTTTAGCAATAAGAATTAGATTTCAATCTGGACCCACTGTCTTGCAGACACAAATCCTTCTGACTCTGCAGCATCATAGTGTGGTCAGTATATTTATCTCAAGTCCTCCAAATGTTCATATTTTTATCATGGGCTATCATGCACATAGCTCATTTTTCTACCAACATTTATTCTTTCTTAAGTTGAGAAATCATGTCGGGAGCTTAGGTATTTTAAAAGTTTGTTGCACACAAAACGTTTTTAGACTTTTGTTGGCCATTCTTTTACCTTTGCCTTACACAAGATCAGGAAATATTCCTGCTGATTCCTTTTTTTTTTTTTTTTTTTTTTTTTTTGATTGGGGGAGGATAGGGAGAATCTAAATAAGCTGAGGTATTTTATTTTTAACTAAATTAAAAGAACAGTGCCCTTCTCCAGAAAAATCTTCAGTGTACAAAGAATGGTAGTCATACAAAGTGCTTTAGGTGTTACAATAATGTTTGCAGCAATTAGCAAAGATGATATTGTTCTTTTTTATGTCTGCTTCAATCAACTCACTTCAAACAGGTGGCAATGAAGAATTTTACAGATTAACTCTAATGATTTATATTGTGTTTTAAAAAGGACAAATCAGCCAATCCTGCTGGAGTTAAAGGCAATAAAATCTGCACAATCTTGAAACTAAGGCACTTCTATATTTTGAAGAGCTCTTTCTTTTCTTCTCATGGTATTAGCCTCCATATTGGTAGCTGCTATAAATAATGGTTAACTGTTCAGATTTTGTATGCATATCAAGGTTAATAGCTGTCCAAGTTTCAGACTGTCTTATGGGTTACCATAGAATGGAACTGAATGTGAGTATCTATTGTTTGAAAAAGTCAACAGAAGAAGCCATATATATATATATATATATATATATATATATATATATATATATATATATATATATATATATATAAAATTTTTTTTTTTTCATTGCAGTTGTTGTTTTTGTGCTTTGCATTTATTCAGAACTGAATCCAAATCTTAGTTAACTAAGTGGAATTAAATTTAATTTCAGGACGAAAGTTTTGCATGATTTGAGATTCTGTCTGGTTGATGTATATCTGTGCAGTTCAGGGCTGTGTAGTTTACAATTTAACACTACAAGAGTTAACAAATTGATTCATGTTTAACTGCCATTTGTATTTCCAAAGTTTTGAAGGTAACAAGGAAAACAAATTATAAAAAAAAAATTATGTTAATAAAAAGAAAACCTAAATAAAAACCCTTTGAAAGTAATTTTTTTGTATGAATACATCAGTGAATGAAAATAATTTTTTTAAATTTTTTAATTTTTCTTTCTCTGTATTTTGCATTTTTTTTTTTTTTACTTTGTTCATTCATGCTAATGAATATAAAGGCAGTTGCTGTTGGCATAGAACTCTGTTTGTTTTGGTCATTATTTTTATTAAGTAAAAAAAAAAAATAAATAAACAAAATTGATGCATAAACTAACATTCTGATCCACCTACTCAATCATTTTCTCACCAAAAGAACAAAGAAAGCTCTCATCTTTTGCTCAAACATTTTCTCTGTGCAGATTGGGGCAAGAACAGTCACTTGTCTTGTCCTCTGATTCCCAAACACAGAATTTATGCTTGGCATTATATGACCAATATAGATGTCAGTGTGCCAAAAATACCACAAATATATAAATCTCCAGTCCCATATCTTTTTCTTCTTTTCTATGAGCTTTCCTTTTATCAGGCCTTCAAACATTAGTCATTACATCATATTTGTTCTTAGTTTTATTTCACAGCAAGGAGAACCCCACTATTATTGTTTGGTTCAAAATAGCTCTACTTTCAGCATAATTCACACTGTTAAGGCCATGGGTAAGTCTTTCTAGTAAGGCACTTAACCAGCTGGTTTTCAAAAGGTGGCATAACATACAATTCATTTTTCACTGATCAAGGTTGACTACATGGTTCTCTGTATGAGGTCCTCCCCACCCACAAAAAAATGTAAAGATGCCCTTGATAAATCAATCTATTTTCTTTGCCACTGACATCATCTATCTTTTCTATCATCATAACTACAACTACTACCAAGGGAAAAAAAACTGATTTCTACTTTGTTTTTAAAAGAAATATAATGTTGGAGTCGTCACCACCCCCCTCCCGCCCTCTCTATTGTCAGGCTATTTAAAGAAGAAAAAAAAATAACAACACATTTTTTAGTTTATCTTCTCCAGTATTCATACAAACAGAAGAAAAGGATTTCTAGACAATTTGTCAGGGTGGGGTTTCAACCACTGACCTGTGTTTCTTTCTGCCCATGCATGCTCACATGTACCCGCATCTCTCATGCACGCACTATGTTAGTCGACTGTAATCAAATAGCTTCTGTTACCCCCTCACTATCAAAAACTGCCCCCCACCCGTCTTCACTACCTCTGCTTTACTCACTCTCTGTCCAGGACTCTTCTCTATTGGCTCTTGCTTCCTAATCAATTCCTGCCAGATATTTGGCAACAAGTGATTATTAGAAAAAAAAAAAAAACTGGAATATTCTTTTTCAGCTTAAAAAAAATTGACAGAGAAATGATGAAAAAAAAAAAAAAAAAGTATGTTTTGTGTAGCATTTCTTGGGAGTTTGCATTTTTTTGCTGACTACTGACATTATTATTATTATTATTGAAAGAAAGCAAGAAGAAAATTTGTAACTACAATTTAATTGCAAGTTCTTCTTATTGTGTAGCAAGGCAAGATGAGAAAACATAAATGAATTAAAAATAAAAACATTGTACTCGCTACAAAAATTTTGTCTTTTTTTCCCCCCCTAGTTGAGAAAATCAAGTTATAGCAGGAACAGGTTAATGTTTGGATGTTCCATACTGCAAAAGAAACTTTTTGTCATAATTTCTCTAATATTATGAAATTTTATACAAACGATTACAAAGAAGAAATTTTTTTGCCAATATATTATTGGCTAACAAAATTTTAACTGTTTAACAATATTTTTAGTTAGCAAAGACGTTTATTTTCAACCCTGATTAAAATAGTAGTGGACAGGAAAGAATGATTTCAAAATCAGCATCTTCCTTTTAAAATGACTTTCTTAGACTGTATATTATGATCTTTTAAGCAAACTTATTTTTTGCTTGTTACTCAGATCCAAATTGGATTTCTTTTTTCATTCTAAAAATTAGTCTCTATTGAGATTTGCTTTCTACAACCAATGGTTTTATAAAGGTTTTTAAAAAGTACTTTTTGCTATATGGTAACATTCATATATTTACTAAAAGCACAAAACCAAAGTTGTTTTGAGAAAGGAATGAGAAGGAAAAAAAATTGGTAGTTTTAATAAGGTTATATTGCAGCAAACAATGTCTTTATTTCTTTCAGATAAGCATTTTGCTTTTTAGACTTTCTTTTCTCTACAGATTGTATGTTTACTTTTAGCTGACTATTTTCAAGTGAGTAAATTTGTTTATGTACCAAAAGGTATTTGCTACTGATGTGCTGACTGGACACATTAAAAACAAATATTTTTATGGGGTTAAAGTGTGTTTACATGGTATTCTAATGTAACTAATACTGC